TGGGCGCCAGGGCCTCAGCTCGCCCCTCTGGCATACTATTGTGATACTTGTGGGCGGGGCATCAGGCTCCCACGGTACTGCCCTGTGAGCATTTGCCTGTGACCTTGGCCTCCGATCGCCCATCTATCATCTCATCTCCTCTACCCGCTTCCCTCTGTGGCTTGTGCTGCGAGGATCAGTGGATTCCTGTCCATCTGGGTGCAGAGTTGGCATACATCACCATCTCAGCAAGACCAGCCCAGCTCAAGGCTGGAAGGTTCTAGTAACACAGGAATCACTGTGTCATCGGAGGTCATGTGACATCCCCTCATCTTTTCTCAAGTTTCCGAGTGGGAGATGGGCCATGCATTTATGCATCTTTTTAAATAAATATTTTTATTGATTTCAGAGAAGAAGGGAGAGAGGGAGATAAAAACATCAATGATGAGAGAGGATCACTGATTGGCTACCTCCTGCATACCCCACACTGGGGATCAAGCCTGCAACCCGGGCATGTGCCCTGAGCAGAATCAAACCTGTGACCTCTTGGTTCCTGGGTCGATGCTCAACCGCTGAGCCACACCAGCTGGGCCGTTTATGCATCTTTAGGGAGACTCAGACTTGAGGCTGCCGTGGCAGTGTCCCTGGGCGTGCAGGAGGCAACTGACCCAAGATTCTCTCTCATCGATATTTCTCTCTTTCTCCCTCTCCCTTCCTCTCTGAAATCAATAAAAATATATTTTTAAAAAATTCCTCTGATCTGATGGAAAAATTCTTTTCTTTGAATCAATTGATTTATTTGTAGCTGGAAAAGAATTTTTCTATGACACCTGCACCTCGATATCACCAAAGAGACACCTTGGTTGGCCGCAGAGACTTGAATTGTTTTTGGTTGTTATTTATGTTGTGTTGGGATACATTGTAGATACACATGGCTACTGCTAAGAGCAGAATTATAATCCAACTGCCTTTAACCCCTCCGTCTTTTCTATTGCCGTCCAACAGGAAACTGTGAAGGATAATTCGCTTCTTTTTATGCCAAATGTGCTGAAAGTCTATCTGGAAAACGGGCAGACCAAGTCCTTCCGCTTTGACTCAAGCACCTCCATTAAGGTAAAAGGACCCCCTCGGGCAGCGAGCAGAAGCTGCAAGGGCGTCTCAGGTGGCAGCCCTTCTTGGACAACTGCTTGTCTATTGCTGAGAAGTGTTTCATTGTTTCCAAATAAGGGAGTGTGTGAGTTCTGGCCGTTGTGTCTCAGTGGATAGAGCACTGGCCTGCAGACCGAAGGGTTCCAGGTTCGATTCCAGTCAAGGGCACTTACTTACCTTGGTTGCAGGCTCCTCCCCAGCCCGGGCCCTGGTTAGGGCTCATGCAGGAAGCACCCAATCGATGCATTTCTCTCGCACCGATGTTTCTCTCTGTCTCTCCCCCTTCCTTCCACTCTCTCTAAGAATCAATGGAAAAATACCCTCAGGGGAGGATTTCAAACATAGAAAACAAATCAGGCAGTGTGTGAATACCTAAAAACAAACCAAGATGAAAGTCCTGCCCAAAGCAAGCATGGTCTCAGCAATGTGAGCCCAAGAAGGATGAAGCTGTTAGCGGTTAATTGAGTATCTGCTACTTTGGTGACCAGTGAGAACAAGGGTAGAGTAATACAAAGATAGCACTTACTTGGCATTACCAGAGCTGCTTTCATGGCAATGATGCATGAAGGGCAGGAATGAGGCGAGCGTCTTAGCAGAGGTGAAGAGGAAGAGCCACAAAGCAATTCAGTGTCGGGAGTCCCCCCCCCCCTGCCCCCATCCGTGGGAAATGCCTTCAGAGACCCCCAGTGGATGACCAAAACCGTGGATGGTAATGATCTCTATACACGATGATTTTTCCAACACATGCTCACCTCCACTGAAAGGAAGCACTTTACGGCTTCTCTGTGACTTGTCCTAGTGGTTGGCAAACTCATTAGTCACCAGAGCCAAATATCAACAGGACAACGATTGACATTTCTTTGGAGAGCCACATTTTTTAATCTTAAACTATATAGGTAGGCACATTGTTATTAATCTATTCAATAATTAGGGTACCCCTAAGCTGGCCTTTGCTAAAAACTTAAGGGGCCAAAGAGCTGCATGTGGCTCGCAAGCCGTAGTTTGCCTACCGCTGGCTTGTCCAAATGTCTGGCACCAGTGCTCTGGGCCTTGGGGCCATCAGTAAGAAAAACAGAGATGACTTGAATGCCAGGCCTGGGGCACCACAGCTGCTGATCTTATCACCAAGGCGGCTGCTGGTGACTGACAGGTGGGGTGTGAACAGCACGTGGAGTCGCTGGCCAAAGGGAGGAGTCCCTTCCCAGGCAGGGCAGAATGGACAACTTATGAATTGTTTATTTCTGGAATTTTCCATTCAGTATTTTTGGGCTGCAGTTGACCTCGGATAACTGAAACCTCGGAAAGTGAAACGGCAGATGGGGGGGGGGGTGTCTGTATTTCAGAGCCACAGGTGGGTTTGCATAATGGGCATTATTATAAAGCATATGGGTTCAATACATATTCTCTTTTTTATTGGATAAAAGTCTGTTCAGAAATTGATTGCTCCCTACTGGTCCATCAGCCTAAAACAGGCTTTCTTCAGATGCACAGTCAAAAAGATTTGATTGAGGTAAAAACAAGTACCTAGTGATGACCTTGTGTAATAGTGTATCAAGAGACTATCAGCTGTGGGTTTAAAATGTCTATTAATAGTCAACCCCCAAGTCTCGGTTTTTCAAAGGAATCAGCACAGACCTTCTGAGGGCCCCCTCACCGTGCCTTCTTCTTATCAGGGTTCTGGCAAGCAGCTTGTTTGGAATTGCTTTAAATAGGCAGCGACTGAGCAGGTTAGAGAGCAGACAGTGAGAGTAGATTGATGATAAAGCATCTAAATCAGCCTGCAATCACTCTGGGTGAAATATGAACTGCCTTCATACCAGACTGCGAAATTTAAATGCCGGTGACTAAAGAAGTCTTTTTTATTTTTTTTATTCCTACTCCAAATCAGTTGACAGTGAGATGTTACTCTAAATATTAGTTAACTCAGCTAGGAGTTGGCAAGCTTTCTCTGGGAAGGCCTGGAGAGTAAATATTTGAGGCTTGATGGGACATTTGACCTGTGTTGCAACTACCCAGCTCTGCTATCTATACTAATAAAAGCCTAGGTGGCCCTCGTGCCCTCACACCCTTATGTCATCACAGGATGGCCACCCCCGCATAGTCACAAGGTGGCCACCACAAGATGGCCAGTGAGGGGGGGAGGCAGTTGTGGGCAATCAGTCTGGCAGGGGAGGTCAGTTAGAGGTGACTGGGTCAGCAGGGTAGGGCAGTTGCAAGCAACCAGGCCTGCAGGAAAGGGCAGTTGGGGGCGACCAGGCCAGCAGAAGAGGGCAGTTTGGGGCAACTAGGTTGGCAGGGAAGGGCAGTTGGGGCGATCAGACAGGCAGGCAGGCAAGTAAATGGTTAGGAGCCAGCAGTCCAAAATTGTGAGAGGGGTCCCAGATTGGAGAGTGTACAGGCTGGGCTGAGGGACACCCCCCGCCCCCAGAGCATGAATTTCATGCACTGGGCCTCTAGTCGCATCATGAAAATAGTCATGGAACCTGCTCCCAGGTTCAATAATCCACTCGAAGGACTCACACGACTCAGCAAATTGTCACACTCCCAGTTCCCCTTTCTTGCCGCCAAAGGATATGAAGTGAAATCAGCAATCGCAGAGCGTGCCCAGGGCACAGGGTTTGGCCAAGGACATTGGAGCCGTGCGATGGCCTTTTCTCCAGCAGTCACGTGACAGTGTGCACAGTGCCGCCAGCCAGGAAGCTCAGCCGGGCCTTGCTGTCCGGTTTTTACTGGCGGCCGGCTGCACAGACAGAGCTGACCACCTCTGTGGCCGACCTTAGTAGCTGGCCCCGCATGAGGTCAAGCTGATAGCACATGACCCCAGATCCCCACTGTAATCACATGGTTGACACGCACTATCTGATGTGTCCCCAGGTCACCGGGAAACAAAGCTCCTCCTATCAGGCACTTCGCTCCAAGGTGATAGCAGTTCCCTCCCAAGAGCCAGGAGTAAAAAAAGTACTTGTATCAATTTCAGTGAAGAAGTGAGAGGGAGAGAGAAACATCAATGAGGAAAGAGAATCATGCATCAGCTGCCTCCTGCATGCCCCCCACTGGGGATCGAGCCCGAAACCTGGGACGTGTCCTAACTGGGAATCGAACTGTGACCTCCTGGTTCATAGTTGGGCTCAACCACTGAGCCACATCGGCCGGGCAGGCAAACCTTTGTTTGGTCAAGAAGAATGTTTTTATCACACAGACACTATATGAATGAAGGTGCATGGCCATAGTTTGCAGACCCCTGGTCTAAGCCACAGAGCTCTGTCATTCCAGATCCCTCAGACACAACGGCCTTACTCTGTGACACCGATTGGTCAGAACACCTGCCTGCCATTGTACCCTCCCGCATCCGAAGATCTTCGAAAGCATTTTTAAAATATATTTTTATTGATTTTGCCCTAACCAGTTTGGCTCAGTGGAAAGAGTGTCTGCCTGCAGGCTGAAGAGTCCCAGGTTCTATTCCAGTCAAGGGCATGTACCTTGGTTGCAGGCACATCCCCAATGGGGGGCGTGCAGGAGGCAGCTGATCGATGTTTCTCTCTTATTGATGTTTCTAACTCTCTATTCCTCTCCTTTCTTCTCTGTAAAAAAAAATTTTAAAAATTAAAAATTAAAAAAATTTAAAAAAATTTTAAATCAATAAAATATATTAAAAAAATAAAATAAAATATATTTGTATTGATTTCAGAGAGGAAAGGGGAGAGAGAGAGAGAAACATCTACGATGAGAGAGAATCATCGATCAGCTGCCTCCTACATGCCCCATGCTGGAGATCCAACCCACAACCCAGGCATGTGTCCTTGACCGGAATCGAACCTGGAACCCTTCAGTCTGCAGGCCGATGCTCTATCCACTGGGCCACACTGGCTAGGGTGTGAATGCATTTTGTACCAGAAAGAAATGGGAACTTGGAAGAGACTTCTCTCCGGCCTCTGTGTTAGCGGGGCCCATGCTAGACTAAGTTTGATTTCCTTGAGGATTTCAATGACAATGAGACGGGAAGCAATGCAAAAAGTTCACATGAAATTGTAGTTATCTTATCTGGTACTGAACAGCCTTATTATCACAATAGACACGGGCTGGTGGGCATCCACTGGAAATAGTCTCGCTCGGAAAGGATATGACAGTGTTTAATAAAAATTGCCAGAATTCCCGCTACAGAGGCGCAATAGGAACAATGTATTGCTATTGATTTCCCGGCGTCCTCCCCGGCGGTTCGGGAGCTTTTAGACAGTGTGAGCTGCTACACAAAGGCTCGTGTTGTTTTCTCTCCTCGGGGCCGTGAGCAAGAAACTATGACAGAGAAAATCTTTTCATAGAATTCAATACAGTCCAGGTAGTTCCGTGGAATGATGACTTTTGGGTGGTGGGTGGGTGTGGGAATCTTTGTTTCCAGGGGCCTGAAGACATTTTAAAAAGTATACAGAGAAGCCCTAACTGGTGTGGCTCAGTGGATACAGCGTCGGCCTGCGGACTGAAGAGTCCCAGGTTCGATACTGGTCAAGGGCATGTACCTTGGTTGCAGGCACATCCCCAGTAGGGGATGTGCAGGAGGCAGCTGATCGATGATTCTCTCTCATCGATGTTTCTAACTCTCTATCCCTCTCCCTTTCTCTCTGTAAAAAAATCAATAAAATATATTTTAAAATTATAAAAATAAAAATAAGTCTACAGAGAAGAAGCAAAACCTTGCTGTGTCTTGGTGAGTTGATACTTTGGACCAGAAATGAGTAATTCTTGGTTGTGAGTGTGGCTTGTACATTGGGGTGCTAGGCCTCCCTTCATGCCTAGCACCCCAATCCCATTGTGACAGCAAAAATGGCTCCAGAAGTTGCCGCCGTTGAATACAACACCTCTTTGGGATTTAAAAAATGTTTATTAATTTCAGGGAGAAAGGGAGAGGGAGAGAGAAGCATCAATGAGGAGAGAGAGTCATTGATGGGCTGCCTCCTGCATGCCCCCTACTGGGGATGGAGCCCACACCCAGGCCTGTGCCCTTGCCCGGAAATCGAACCGTGACCTCCTGGTTCCTAGGTTGACGCTCAATCACTGAGCCAGGCTGGCCGGCGCTGCCTGGGTTTTGATCGCATCTTGTGACTGTTTCCTCTGGCAGGATGTCATCATGACCCTCCAAGAGAAGCTGTCCATCAAAGGCATCGAGCACTTCTCCCTCATGCTGGAGCAGAGGACCGAGGGCGCCGGCAGCAAGCTGCTGCTGCTGCATGAGCAGGAGACCCTCACCCAGGTGCGTGAGCTGTCCCTGAGGGCGCTGCTGCCACCCAGCCACCTGCCCCAGCATCTCCCCCACCCCTGGCCCCAGCACCACCCCTCCCCTGAGGGTACTGCCACCACCCAGCTGCCCGCCCAGCATCCCTCCTCCCCAGTACCATCCCCCCCGCCCCAGCATCCCCATCTGCCCTAGCATCCCTCCCACCCCAGTATCCCTCCTGCCCCAGGCATCTCTCCTATCCCAGCATCCCACCCACTCTATTCTCCCTCCCTCCTCAGAATCCCTCTCACCCCAGTATCCCTCCTATCCTACTCTTTCCTCCCTACATCCCTCCCGCCCCAGCATCCCTCCCCCCACCCAACATCTCTGCCATCCCAGTACCCCTCCTATCCTACTCTCACTCCCTCCCCAGCATCCCTGCCATCCTAGTACCCCTCCCATCCTACTATCCCTCCCACCCTACTATCCCTCCCACCCCAGCATCCCTCCCGCTGCAGATGCTCTCATCGTGCTCCCTGCATCGCTGGGCAGCGCACTGAGGGAGCGGGCGTTAGTAATGGGCTCTCTGCCTCCAGGTTATGTCTCCCTTTTTTTTTTCTTTTTTCTTTTTTTCTTTTTTTTTTAATATATTTTATTGATTTTGTACAGAGAGGAAGGGAGAGAGATAGAGTTAGAAACATCGATGAGAGAGATTCATCGATCAGCTGCCTCTTGCACACCCCCTACTGGGGATATGCCCGCAACCAAGGTACATGCCCTTGACCGGAATCAAACCCGGGACCCTTCAGTCCCCAAGCTGACGCTCTATCCATTGAGCCAAACCGGTCTCGGCTTATGTCTCCCTTTCCGTCAGTGTCCACAGCCTGTCAGGTCACCTGTGGAACAGATGTGTCACTCAGTCTGGGCGGCATGCTGAGGAGGTGGCTCTGTCCCATTCCCCTCTCTGTCCCAGTCCCCTCTCTGGCCGCCTGCTCTCACCGTGGGCCTCCTGGAGCTACTTGGTTGCCATGAGGCCCTTTAAGTCAAGGCCAGGCCGTGTGCGTGGCTCTAGGCTCCGGGTGTCCACCTCAGGCTATTTCCGGAAGCCTCCAGGCCCCGCCCCGGCCTGCCCACTGTAAATATGTGATGCGGCCACGCACCCCAGTTCTGGGGGCAGGACGCCACCCCCTCTGTTCTCTGGGGAGTGTCAGGCTGCCACTGCTGCCCTGTGATGCTGCTCAGCATCCCTGTGGGGGGGTGAGGGGTTTCATTAATGCTCCGTGGCGGAGGGTTCCTAGAGGAGGGAGCGTGGGGCTCTTGGGTCCCCTCTGTCCTTTCTGCTTTCCTTTCCCGCCCAGCGGGGACAATGGCCCACGGCCCTTGGACCCGGGGCCACGCTGCTTTCCCTCCTGCCCGCAGCCTGGGAGCTGAGTCCCTGTCACCAACTGCCATGTGCCCAGTCTCCTTTCAAAGGAGGGTGTGTCTTTCCGTTAAGATTCTATTCCACATGTGAACTGTATACATCTGAACACACACACACACACACACACACACACACACACGTGCCCTAAGGCTCAAGAAAGCTGCTGCTGCATTTCTTCTGAATTTCTACATGGCATTTCACAAACATTTTTGCTCCTCCAGCTTTGTCCCCTGCATGACAGTTGTCACATATCCATGGAACTGCGTGCCCGTGCATGGGAAGGACATACAAGCGCATAAAACCACAGGCAGCCGAAACCGGTTTGGCTCAGTAGATAGAGCATAGGCCTGCGGACTGAAAGGTCCCGGGTTCGATTCTGGTCAAGGGCATGTACCTTGATTGCTGGCACATTTCCAGTGGGGGGTGTGCAAGAGGCAGCTGGTCGATGTTTCTCTCTCATCGACGTTTCTAACTCTCTATCCCTCTCAGTTCCTCTCTGTGTAAAATCAATAAAATATATTTTAAAAACAAAACAAACAAACAAACAAAAAACCACAGGCAGAGCAGCTGTGCCGGTGGGGCTGCGGCCTTAGGTTCGCTGTGCTGGCCTCTTTTGGGGAAACTGAGGGGCTATTCCCCTCTTTCTTGGAGTCCAGTGTCTTTTCTTTCTTTTTTAAAATATATTTTATTGATTTTTCACAAATAGGAAGAGAGAGGGATAGAGAGCTAGAAACATCAATGAGAGAGAAACATCCATCAGCTGCCTCCTGCTTACCCCCTACTGGGGATGTGCCCTCAACCAATGTACATGCTCTTGACCGGAATCGAATCTGGGACCCTTCAGTCCACAGGCCGACGCTCTACCCACTGAACCACACCGGTCAGGGCCAGTGTCTTTTCTTTCACTTGCCTGTGTGCTAAGCACCTGTTACTCCCCCACCGATGCCCGCTGTGAGCAGAGGGGCCAGGAACAGCAGTGGCAGCGGCACAGCCCGAGCTGGCAGAGAAGGACAGCACATCCCCATGAGCCGTGTCCATGACCCTGCAGGCCTGTGCTGTGTTCCAGCCCTGGGCCGCCATCTGAGTGAGGTCACGGCACCAGAAGTGGCCAGGAGTTTGGAAACTGGACTCCAGTTCAGTGCAGCGGCCCAAACTCTGTCTTCCTGCCCCTCCCTGGCTTTGGGTGCCATGACAACACTGAGCATCTTACCTTGAGGGGAGAGGCTGAGCTCACAGACTCCTGGCGCGCATTCTGTCCAACCTGAAATTCACACGCCCCGGGAACAGCCCCAAGCCAGGGACCAGTCTGTGCTTCTTTGGCTCAGGTGCCGGGCCCCCTGCTGGCAGCTACTCTCCGGAGGCCCCCAAGGACCAGACTGTGGCTGACCACCCCTGGGGACCATGGGCTGGCTCCCCATCCTCCCTGCCTGCCGGCCTCCCTGCCTCCTTGCTGGCCACTCCTGGGGACAGTTCCTTAGCAAGTCCCTCCTCTCAGGGTCTCTTGGGGGGCACCGGACCTATGTTCCAGGCTCTGTACATTTCCGGGGAGTGAGGACTTGTGAGACCTCTCAAAGGACTTAGCCGCCCCTTCCCTCAAAGTCCAAAGAAAGTTGCCTCTGCTTCAGGGCCCCTCAGCTGTTTCGCACTCCCCACTGAGCCCCCCTGCGGTGGGTCTGCCCTTCCAGGTGACACAGCGGCCCAGCTCCCACAAGATGAGGTGTCTTTTCCGGATCAGCTTCGTGCCGAAGGACCCCATTGACCTGTTACGGAGAGACCCGGTTGCTTTTGAATATCTCTACGTTCAGGTATGTGGGCACGATTGGCGTGTTGCATGTGAATGTTGTAGATAAAGGAACTGGTTCAACACCTCCCCCCCACTTCAGTGATCTTTGCCCCCCCCCCTCTTCAGTGGTCTTTGGAAGAAAGTGTGCTCCTCACAGCTCAGCAGGAGGACTAATGCTCAGAGAGGCACCCCGAGTCCCCAGGATAAGGGTCAGTAAGCCCTGTTTATCAAGTAAAGAAACATGAGTGGACGTTACATTGGTTGTGACCCAGAACAGTGAAACTGTCATAACTTGGGTTGCTGTCATTTTTTAAATTTTTAAAAAATATATTTGTATCGATTTCAGAGAGGGAGAGAGAGAAACATCATTGAGGAGACAGAATCATGGATCAGCTGCCTCCTGCACACCCCACATTGGGGATGAAGCCTGCAACCTGAGCATGTGCCCTGACTGGTAACCAAACCATGACCTCCTGGTTCGTAGGTTGATGCTCAATCACTGAGCAACACTGGCACGGCGCGACTTGGGTCTTTTAAATGTTGGACTTTAGTCACCTGGACCTCTCAACAATGGCCCTTGTTCCCCAACAGGCCAGGGAACCCACATGTAACCGCATGAAACAGCCTGATTGACAGCTGGTCTGTTACTGGGTCTTCCCCACATTTCTGCTGAGAACCAGTCAGCACTTTGCTCAGCAGCCCAGACCTAGAGCTGTGTTTTTTAGCATATTAGTTGCATATACACTGAGTGGCCAGACTATGATGATCGCTGAACGCATAATAATCTGGCCACTCAGTGTCTATCCTATAGAATAAAAGGCTAATATGCAAATTGTCCCCTTGACCAGGAGTTTGACCAGCAGGCAGGCTGGCCCACCGCCCATGTCCCCTTGCCCTGGCCAGGCTGGCCGGACCCCACCCATGCACGAATTCATGCGCTGGACCTCTAATATATATATTGAGTGGCCAGATTATGATGCGTTCAGAGATCATCATAATCTGGCCCCTCAGTGTAGATTGTTACGGGTGCCGATCAGTACCTGGCCAGGCATTGTGATCTAGTGCTGCAATCGCCAACCTTTCTGACCTCATGAACCACCAGTGATCCGCGGACCACCAGGCAGTGACCGCTGACCCATTGGGCTGCCATTCTCTCCAATTCTGTACCCATCCTGTTAACACAATAATGCTTTCAAGCCATTTTGCTCTGCTTTCGTTTTAAACATCAAAATCCCATTGTGTGTATACAACATGTTTGCAGTTGTCTTGGGGATGGGACACTACCTGAGTAGGCCAGGAGGACTGCCAGGCATGGCTCTGTAGAAGATGTGTTTGCCCAAATGGAATGCAGACTAAACGGTCCCAGGTTCGATTCCGGTCAAGGGCACCTATCTTGGTTGCAGGCTCGATCCCTGGCCCCGGTCAGCGCATGTGTGGGAAGCAACCAATCGATGTGTCTCTCTCACATCGATGTTCCTCTCTCTGTCTCTCTCCCACCCTTCCACTCTCCCTAAAATTCAGTAATTAAAAAAATATCCTCGGTTGAGGATGAACAGAAGACCCATCTTTTTTAGCCTGGGATTGTCCTGACAACAGGAAACCTGTCCAGGGTCTTGTCCCCAGAATAGACCTTCCCCACTTGGGTGTGGCATGGGTGGTGGATTAGCAATCCCTTCAACAGGCAGCCTATGAGGGGGGTGGGCAGCCATGTGGGGCAGGTGATAGACTGAAACAAAGCTGCCATCTCCCCCTTTTCTCTCTTCCACTGAGAACAGGAAATGAAATTTCTTGGACTCAGACCCTCTGCTTCCAAATGCCTTGCACCGCACCATGTGCAGTGTATCTAAAATAGCTCCCGCCTCACAGCAGCCAGTGGCTCTGCAGATGGTGCTGTGGGCCCATGTTGATTTGAAGGTGCTGAAAAGATGCAGTAAAATTAGTCTAGAAAACAAGAGTAAGCAGAAGCAATATCCACTGAGTGGCCAGATGATGATGACCTCTGAATGCATAATAATCTGGCCACTCAGTGTCTATCCTATAGAATAAAAGGCTAATGTGCAAATTGTCCCCTTGACCAGGAGTTCGACAAGCAGGCAGGCCGGCCAACCGCCCATGTCCCCTCCCCCTGGCCAGGCTGGCCAGACCCCACCCATGCACGAATTCATGCACCGGGCCTCTAATACACACACACACACACACACACACACACACACACACACACACACTGAGTGGCCAGATTATTATGTATTCAGAGATCATCATTATCTGGACAGTCAGTGTATAATGTAATTAAGTGGCTAATCACCTGGATAAGAAATTCACCTAGAATTCCCTTTCAAATACAGGAGATACACATAGTGTAACAGGGATGGGAAACACAGTTCCAATCACAACTCTTAGAAGCAAGAGTGATGGCTCACTTTATAAAACACGTGACATTTCTGAAACATCCTTACAGTATAGCAGCAAATGGGCTTGACTTGGCTATTTTAGCCCATTTTTTATATAAGAAAACTGAGACTTAAGAGCGAGGAAATGTCCTGCCCAAGGTCATTGGATGAATAATTGAGAGCCTAGGCTCAAACCTAGAGCTCTTGTCTCTAAACCTGATGCTGAAATCCTGTTTCCAATCCATTAGGCCCGTAGTCAGCAAACTACAGCTCGAGAGCCACATGCGGCTCTTTGGCCCCTCGAGTGTGGCTCTTCCACAGAATACCACGGCCTGAGCGAGTCTATTCTGAAGAAGTGGCATTAGAAGAAGTTTAAAAAATGTGGCTCTCCAAAGAAATGTTAATCGTTGTCCTGTTGGTATTGGGCTCTGTGGACTCATGAGTTTGCCGACCACGGGGTTAGTGTAAACACCCCTGGCTCAGATGAGCACACTGAGGCTGCAGAAGAAAGCAAATGGGTCCAAGTGACACAGGTGGGCCTGGACCGAGCAGGGACTCTGCCCCTCATCACCTGGCTCATGCTGTCTCCCGGAAGCTGCTCTAAATGATGACGAAGAGGAGGGTGATGGTGACAGCTATTAGCACGTGTCAGCTCTTTCACCTGACCAGGGAGAGGTGCCAGGGATTTCCATGCTGACTAATGTCACCCTCAACAACCCTGTGAATAGGGAGCAGGGTCCATCCCAGTTTACAGAAGGGGAAACTGAGGCACAGAACCAGGCCCTTTCCCAGTGCCATGCCCTGGTGAGGCGGAGGGACGGGATTGGAAGCCTGGATCCCAAGCCCAGCAGCCTAACTCCAGACACCACTGTGCCGGCGGGGCTCGCGTGTTCAATTGCAGCACCTGTGTTTGGAAATTCCATACCTTAATCCCTAATTCTTCTTACAAAAAGCTAAATATTGAAATAGCAGCTCGCTCGTCGATGGCTGGTAAATATTTTGCGTGGTCTGTCTGTTTGGGAGCGTGATTCAATATTGACTTGTTGCAAGCAGCGCAGGGCGGGGGTGGGGGGGAGATGTTTCCACATTTAGCCTCCTTGCCTGTGCAGTGAGGGGGGATGCGGTCACCTGCTCCACCCAGGCAGTGCCTGAGCCCATTCTTTGATGAGCTGCGCCCCCTGCTGGTCTCTCCGCAGAGCTGTAACGATGTGGTACAGGAGCGATTTGGGCCGGAGCTGAAATACGACATCGCCCTGCGACTGGCCGCCTTGCAAATGTACATCGCGACTGTGACCACCAAGCAAACGCAGAAAATCTCTCTCAAATACATCGAGTAAGTGTTTCCTGGGGGTCATTCCGGACACGAAGTCGCTGCCCCCCTTAACGACCAAGTACATTGTTGATCTATGTCTACTTCCAAAACTGATCTTGGTGTGGTTAAACATTGGGGGAAAACATACGACTGGCATGTTCGTTTTGGGCGGAAGGGATCCATTTCTTACATAACCCACATTTGAACAGTTGTGGCTAAAATGAGGGTCATATTGGAAATGAAACATTTTTAAACTCCTACACGGACTTGGTTCCAAGGCAAGCTTTGGTCTCATCGCTTTTCAGGCGCTAAGCTGCTTCCTACTCACAACATCGCTGTGAGATAAAAAGGGTTTTCCCTCCATTTTATTTATTGTTATTTTTTTAATATATGTTATTATTTTTTCACAGAGAAGAAGGGAGAGGGAGAGAGAGTTAGAAACATCGATGAGAGAGAAACATCCATCAGCTGCCTCCCACACACCCCCTACTGGGGATGTGCCTGCAACCAAGGTACATGTCCTTGACTGGAATCAAACCTGGGACCCTTGAGTCTGCAGGCCAACGCTCTATCCACTCAGCCAAACATGTCAGGGCTTCACTCCATTTTATAGAGGAGCAAACCAAGGCACAAAATAGTGAAAAAAATTTGCCCCAGTCACACATGCTAGAGAGGGTGGGATTTGAACCCAGGCAGTAAGAGTCCACATTGCACTATAGTTTGTGTGACCATTCGAAGCACCTGTGTTTAGAGAGCACACTGCATAACCTGGGGTTATTTTATATGGTCAGCATGCAGCACAAAGAGCAATGTTCTGAGTCTCAGCCTGGAAGAGTGGTGTTTGCAGTAAAGGACAGTGACCCAGCAGGGGAGGATGCTACAGGACCACACTTTGCTTCATGAATCCATCTTTGGGAGACGTGCATGCCTGTCTTGCTTGGTACCCTGTGCTTGGACCAGAGAGAGAGCCCCTCTCCTTAGAAAAGGTAGTTTGTGTCGCCTTCCATTGATGAGTCTGTTTAAGGGTTGCTCTTGAAAAGAGAACCTTCCGTCACCCCTTCTGTGCAGTCTAAGCATGTCAAACTCATGGCTGGCAGGCCGTATGTTTGATGTGCTAATAAACAAGGCATGCGGCCCACTGACCGGGAGTTTGACATGTTTGCACACTCCCCGTTGGCGAGTGATTCATACCCTAAAGCAGCCAAACCTTCTTAATCCTGGCAGCTCTGGTGCTAAGACAAAGGAACACATATATTTCAAAGTTCATGGCGGGGCTGAAGCTACGTCTCCATCTGACACAAAAAGCCTTACTGTCCCCTCCATCTCTTCCTCCAACAGATGTACAGGCTCATTGCAATCCCACCCTGCAGTCCCAGGGGCTGTCTAAAAGCCATTCTGAATCTCAGGCCCCCAGGGTGACCTCAAGGGGCGCTGTGGCTTCTTCTCCACAGGCCTGTGAGCTTGTGTTGCATTTTAGGGACTCTGTCCTGGCTGATCATGTGCCCAATCAGTGTCTTCTAAATTAGGGGAGGAACTTGAGAAGGTGCTGGCTATTTCTCCTGCTCTGAATCCTCTAAAGAAGTGTAGGAAGACAGCCAGCCGTGTGGCCCGGTGGTTGAGTGTCAACCTATGAACCAGGAGGTCATGGGTTGATTCCCGGTCAGGGCACATGCTGGGGTTGCGGGCTCCATCCCCAGTGTGGGGCGGCAGGAGGCAGCCCATCATGATTCTCTCTCATCATTGATGTTTCTCTCTCTCCCTCCTGAGAAATTGTTGCTTGTAGTGTGAGAACCTCAGATCTTTCAGTCCCAGCCACTCCTTTTCACAGATGCGCTCTCTCCTTCTCTCTTACCAAATGTGCTATAACTGTAGCCTGAGAGTTACTCCAAAAGGGGTCTCACATTCAGATGGACACATTCAGACCCTCACCCACTCCACGTTCTGAAGTTGTTGGATGTGGATGAAAATGGATCCCCATTGGAAAGGGGGCTGCACCAGTTGAGATAAGTCTCAGACAGCCCAAATGTATGTCTGTCCATACTCTGCACCTACATTTTCCCAGGTTGAACATGGTCGTTAAAAATTTCCCGAAATAACTAACTTGACTAAGAATCTTGTAGCATCTACTAGATAATGTCCTCATTATTCAAACACCCGGCAAATGTTCAGTGAGCATTTTACATGGTATTCACACTGGAACAGTAGAAGGTATAAATTTTAATCTTAGTAATCCATCAACCTGTGATCTGATCATAAGGACAAGACATAAAGATATGAAAAGTAATGACTTAAAATAATAATACAAGTGCTGAAGCCGGTTTGGCTCAGTGGTAGAGCATCGGTCTGCGGACTAAAAGGTCCCAGGTTCAGTTCTGGTCAAGAGCATGTACATTGGCTGCGGGCACATCCCCGGTGTGGGGTGTGCAAGAGGCGGCTGGTCGATGTTTCTCTCTCGTCGATGTTTCTAACTCTCTCTCCCTCTCCCTTTCTCTCTGTAAAAAATCAATAAAATATATATTTTTTTAAAAATAATAATAATACAAGTAGAATTATAAGGTAGCACCTAAGGACTGCCAAATGATGGCTACAGATAAGAAGTACAGCCCAGCTGGCGTGGCTCAGTGGTTAGGTGTCAACCTATGAACTAGGACAGTGGTCGGCAAACTCATTAATCAACAGAGACAAATATCAACAGTACAACCATTGAAATTTCTTTTGAGAGCCACATTTTTTAAACTTAAACTTCTTCTCATGCCACTTCTTCAACATAGACTCGCCCAGGCCGTGGTATTTTGTGGAAGAGCCGCACTCAAGGGGCCAAAGAGCCGCATGTGACTCGAGAGCTGCAGTTTGCCGACCACTGAACTAGGAGGTCAGGGTTCAATTCCCAGTCAGGCCACATACCCAGGTTATGGGCTCAATCCCCAGTGTGGAATCTGCAGAAGGCAGCTGATCAATGACTCTCTATTATCATTAATGTTTCTATCTCTCTGTTCCTCTCTGGAATACACACACACACACACACACACACACACACACACACACACTCTAGTGGCCTGATGCACAAAATCCATGCAAGAGTAAGCCTTCCTTCCCCCAGCTGCTGGCACTGACTTCCCTCTGGCACCCAAGACCTGGGCTTCCCTCGCAGCCCCAGCTTCGTCCCGAAGATCATCCAGTCTAATTAGCATATTACACTTTTATTATTATAGATATTTTAAAAATATAATAAGTGCAAGCTCAGGAGGAGGAGGAAAGAAATGGTGATTATGAAAAACACCATCTGAGCAGGTGAAGGTGAACAGAGCAGGAGAAATAGCCAGCACCTTCTCAGGTTGTTCACATCATTTAGAAGACACTGGTTGGGCGCATGATCAACCAGGACAGAGTCCCTAAAATTCAAAATATGGAATCTTAGAATAGGATTGTAGTCATAGGGAAATGGCTTCTAGGTAAAACAAACAAACAAACAAACAAAAAAACTATTCACCCAGTCCAGTTTGTCTGTCTGTTTTCTAATCTATCCACGCCTATGAGATGTGTGTACTTTCCCATCATACCAGACAAACTTAAGGGTCATGAACCCCGCCCTGACTCCACACCAATGTCATTCCTCTTCTCCTCTGCCCCAAGCCAGAGACGCTGATGGAAGGAGTTTGGTAGACATGAACTGCCTGTGTCTCTAGGGAAACAGCCATGGACAGGGAGATGGGGAGGGAAGAATGGTTAGGGCATGATGAAGGAATTATGTCTGTCCTTTTGGGAGAAGAGAGAGAGAGTGTGGGCAGACAGGGAGAGGTGAGAACCAGAATAAACAAAGGGATGGGGAGAAATGGGTCTGGGAAATACAAGCTCAGATATGTGTGAACTCTAAGAGCCTTGGGGGGAGGATGGGTGTTTGGATGAAGACTCTGCAGTGTCCATTGATCCCAAATGCCTCTTAGCTCTCTGTCTAGGGAGTGAATGATGTGTTTCTTTGAAAATGCAAACATGTGTATTAAAGATCAGATAGTGTCTCCTGAGTGTAAATTAAAAGCTGCTTCCCGAACTGGGGATTTGTCTCCTTTCCCTGCCTTGCTAAGACTTCGCTGATTCCAACAAACATCAGAGTGCCATTTTGTCTTCACTCACTCCTCATCAGAAGAATGTGAAATTAAAGCTGTGTTCTTTATTGCAGAAAAGAATGGGGATTAGAGACGTTCCTTCCCTCCGCTGTGCTGCAGAGCATGAAAGAGAAGAACATAAAGAAGGCCCTTTCCCACCTTGTCAAAGCAAATCAGAACTTGGTACCACCCGGTAAAAAGGTATCACATTTGCATCTTAATGGAAAATGGATTTTAAAGAGAGAGGCTTGCATGCGTTTTTTTTAAATGTTTAAAATTAGCCCGGGGATAAAAGACTTAGCATCATATTTTCAGAAGCAGAAACATTCTAACCTTTTTAGTTTTCACCATCAACATGTTTCGAAGACTAATGAAAACGAAGTATTTTTATGGAAACCTATTTCTTTCTTCCAAGCTATAGGCTTGTGTTGTATTGAGGGAAGGGAGGGCTGTTCACATGGGCCCGAAGGAGCACCTGGCATAACCTCTGGTTAGAGCCTAGGTTGGCAAACTGTGGCTCTAGAGCCACATGTGGCTCTTTGGCCCCTTGAGTGTGGCTCTTCCACAAAATACCACGGCCTGGGCGAGTCTATGTTGAAGAAGTGGCGTTAGAAGAAGTTTAAGTTTAAAAAATGTGGCTCTCAAAAGAAATTTCAATCGTTGTACTGTTGATAGTTGGCTCTGTTGACTGATGAGTTTGCCGACCAATGGGATAGAGGCTAGACTTGCAAGAAAATTGTACATTTCCATCATACTCTTGCTTTCCACTCAGACCAGCTCGGGCCCCTGCGGGATGCCACATTGACTAAACCAGGGTTCTCTCCATCAGTACCACTGACCTTGGGGACCAGATTATTCTTTGTTGGGGGCTGGGGCTGTCCTGCGCCCTGTGGGATGTTTAGCAGCATCCCTGGCCTCTACCCGCAAGAGGCCAGGAGCAACCAACCCCTCAATTGTGACAAAGATGCCTCCAGACATGTGTCCTGGGGAACAGAATCACCCCAGGTTGACAAGCAGTGAGTGGGACCTTACTTTTGGAAGGACGATGAACTTATTGCTGTGCTCACCATCATTCGTGTTACAATCTTCCGTGTTATCGAGTAGGAGAAACATGAAGGATCTTTTAAAATATACTATTGGTCAGGATAAAGAGCTGTGCTTATAGGTAATACAAAGCACAGGGTTTCAGGGACCAGGGAGAGAAAGACCTTGAAAATACTGGCCCTGTGAAACTGGAAGAAGTCTGACAACACAAGGGCACTTTCCAATTGATGTTGGCCATAGAAACTTGGGAGACACCAATACAAATCACGGCTTATATGGGCAATTCTTCGGTCTTAGGATCTGATCTTAAGTCATTTTTACTTGCTTATTTCTATTCTCTCTTTACCCTGTGGCTTTTTCTATTTCAATTTTTTATAATTGTTCTATTTTGTCATTAGTTGTTGTTAATCTCTTAGTGTGCCTACTTTATAAATTATTCTTCATCATAGATATGTATGTATAGGAAAGAACATAATATATTGATAGTTAGTTCGGTGCTGTCTATGGTTTTGGACATCCACTGGGGGCTTTGAAATATACTAGTATATCCCACAGGTAAGGGGGGCCATTGTACTCATTTTCTTTATACCACATTGCCACTTTTTGAAATTAAATTACTAGAAGCCCGATGCACAAAGATTTGTGCTAAAATGGGCCTTCTTTTCCCTGGCTGCCAGCACTGCCTTTCCATCCCAGCCCAACAGCCCCAGAGCCGCCTCTTTCTGCTCTGGCCCCGCCTTCCCATGCTGCCCAGAGGCCAGATGTGGGGTGGAATGCCATGGCAACGATGCAAGTGTTCTGCCTGCTCCTAGTCACTGGGGAGCCTGTGTATGCAAATTAACTACCATATTTGTTGGGTTCATTTGCATACTCACTCTGATTGGCTGTGGGCATAGTGGAGGTATGGTCAGTTTACATGTTTGTCTATTATTAGGTAAGATATTGGAGTGACGTTAGTCAACATGCACATACAGGTTTCATGTGTAGATTACTAAATTATAAAATCTGTATATAGGACCATGTGCCCGCCATCCAAAGTCAAATCTTCTCCTGTCACTTCATATGAGGACCCCTTTCTCCCCCACCCCATGGTTTTTTTTAAACAAATAATCTGATTCAACATACTATCAGCATCTTCAGCTTATTTCCAGTTCCTGGAACCATTCAGCTCATAGGAATGCAGCAGGACATCACAGATCAAGATTTTTTAAACTTTACATCTGATTTTCCCAAAGCTAATTTCTCTTGACTAACTTGATAGGTTTTTTTTTTCAAGCCTGGCCCACTGGCTTTCTAATTTGGATGCCTGCTCTAAAATCAATTGATCTACCTGTCCATAAAGGTCATTCCTTCTAGCCAAGGGTGAGTGGTTTGCTTTCAAATCTATTTGCAAATTGCTTTGGGATTTTAGAAGAAATAGGATGGATGGACAGTCCTGAATACCAGTTACATAAAGGGTGGCGCACTTAGGTGAGTTAACCATGAGTTGGCAAGTCACCTGTGATTGAAAACAGTCACCTCTATGGAGGGTCTACGCTTGTTGGGAAATCTTGTCCCCAACCAACATTCCTAGCACACGCAGTATGAACCATGGACTTTTTTTTTTTTTAATCAAGTACTTTTTTTATTTTATTACATGGGAATCTACATATTTAAGTCTTTCTGAAGATAGTTATTATCTGGATAAAATTTCACTTGTGAATCATTCATAAACCTCAATAGATTCCTGGAGTCGAATGAAACAGAGACTTAGAGAGCAAGTTCCAACATTTCCACAATGCTTGGAGCTCAGGAAGTTCATTTTCCCCTAAACATTTGCATAGACTGTGAGAAACTTGAGATGGGGCATGTAGAGCCTGTGTAAAGGCTTTATATAGATGGCAGGTGTGTATTCAAAACTACATACAGGTAGATCTCGTGTGTGGTGGGAGAATGTGCAATAACCTTTGTCCCTGATTGCAATTGGAGACATCACTTACCTTTTGAAACCTCCTTGTGAGTAGATGTTTCAATGGAAAATTTTATCTTGTTCTCACTTTTAAAAATATATATGGTATATGTGGGGGGGTGTTGTTTTTTGTTTTGTTTTTTTAATTTCAGACAGGAAGGAAGAGGGAGAGAGAGAGAGAAAGAAACATCAATGATGAGAGAGAATCTTTGATTGGCTGCCTCCTGTGCGTTCCCCACTGGGAATTGAATCTGCAACCTGGGCATGTGCCCTTGACCAGAATCGAACCTGGGATCCTTTCGTCCGCAGGTCGACATTATCCACTGAGCCATACTGGCTAGGGCTTGTTCTCACTTTGTTGAGTGACCTGGCCCACTGCATCTGTACTTATGAGTCCCCCATACATTTCCCCAAAGTTAAACAAATTTAATTTAAATGTCCTGTCGCCATCCTTCATCAGGAAGGCAAATACAGAGCAATTTTTAAAAACATATTTTATTGATTTTTTAGAGAGGAAGGGAGAGAGATAGTTAGAAACATCGAAGAGAGAGAAACATCGATCAGCTGCCTCCTGCACACCCCCTCCTGGGGATGTGCCCGCAACCAAGGTACTACATGCCCTTGACAGGAATCGAACCTGGGATCCTTCAGTCTGCAAGCCTACGCTCTATCCACTGAGCCAAACCAGTCAGGGCAAAATACAGAGAAATTTTATTTCGTTTTTTATCGCGAGTTCTTGTCACACACACCTGTTGGCAGTAGTCATCTCATTTGCCCTTGTTTTCAGCTGGTCTCCGGCAGAACAGAGTCACACCAATGGAGTTAACACCTGATGTTTCTTCTCTCCCCACAGCTCTCTGCCCTGCAAGCCAAGGTCCATTATCTCAAGTTCCTCAGTGACCTTCGTCTGTATGGGGGCCGTGTGTTCAAGGCAACGCTAGTGGTAATTTCTTTTTCTTTTTGTGTTTTTTCTGGAAAGTCATGGAGGCCTGGAAATGTCACTGCATGGGCTGTCTTATATGAGCTGCTCTTGATGACAGAAGCAAATCAGCTGTGAATACTTTCCAGCCTTTGTTTCTAACTCTGCACCCCAGTCTGAACTGGGGAAAGAAATGTGAAACTAGACAGCAGCAGCGCAGCGTGTCCTGGAAAAAGAAAGTGTTATACCCAGAAGTGCTGTACTCTGACCATGGCCCTCCTTTCAGTCGTTGGGCCAAAAGTTGCTCTCCCATAAAAAAATAATTTTTCATTTCTAAAAACCTATCATGATTATGAATGTACATGCTGTGGTAACATTTACTCTCCATGTTCTTCTTAATTTATCAGAGCCTCAATGCAGTCATAGATCTGATTCTAATTGGGTGACTTAGTACAATAAAACCTAGAAATACTTTCTAAAGAAAATGTTGTTTTGCCCAGCTGGCAGGGCTCGGGGGTTGAGCATCAACCTATGAACCAGGAGATCAGGGTTCGATTCCCAGGCAGGGCAAGTGCTGGGTTGCGGGCTCCATCTCCAGTGGGGGACGTGTAGGAGGCAGCCGATCAATGATTCAATGATTCTCATCATTGACGTTTCTCTCTCTCTCTGTCCTCTCTTTCTCTTTCTCTCTCTCTCCCCCCTCTCCTTTCCTCTCTAAAATCAGTAAAAAATCTGTTAAAAAAAAAAAAAAAAAGCAATTTTATAAAAACATTCTCTGGGGTCTTAAAAGTCTAGTATTTTTATATTTTGTCAACGTCCCTTTCTCAGCAGGCAGAAAAGCGCTCAGAAGTGACTCTCCTGGTGGGTCCCCGATATGGCATAAGCCACGTCATAAACACCAAAACCAACCTGGTGGCTCTCTTAGCTGACTTCAGTCATGTGAACAGGATCGAGATGTTTACTGAAGAGGAGAACTTGGTGAGGGTGGAGCTCCATGTCCTGGACGTGAAGGTAAGTCAGCCGGATGTTGGCCCATGGCCTGGATTTAAGCAGTTCATTTGTGCTACACCCGTGGTTGGCAAACTACGGCTCACAAGCCACAGGCGGCTCTTTGGCCCCTTGAGTGTGACTCTTCCACAAAATACCACGGCCTGGGCGAGTCTATTTTGAAGAAGTGGCGTTAGAAGAAGTTTAAGTTTTAAAAATGTGACTCTCCAAAGAAATTTCAATCGTTGTACTGTTGATATTTGACTCTGTTGATTAATGAGTTTGCCGACCACTGCGCTACACTCCTGCTACTTACAAAGCAGGTAGAATTGCACCGTGTCCAGAGCATCCAAGATGCAATATGGTACAGAAAGCAAATCCACCCACCTCACAGGGACAAGTTGCTCTTCTCCTCTGAGCTCAGTTTCTTCTTGTCTACATAAGAGAGCAAGCAAGTTCATGTCTGAGGTCCTTTCAGCTCCAGAACACATGAGTCATAGAGAGTGGGAGAGACTGTTTGCTTCTAACTTTTTAGAATATATGAGTCTTGTATAGACAGGGAAATTTTCCCCAACTCTGATTATAACTCCCATTCCCTTGCGTTAGATTGGGTCCCCTGTGTTTTTTGTTTTGTTTTGTTTTTGTTTTTTTTAGAAAAGCTGAGCATGTTAGTCAGTCTGTCTTTTCGTACTATAGCAACTGGTCCTGATTCCTATGAATGTCATGGCCATTCCATTTAAAACAACAATCTGAGATCCTCCTCAAGGGGTAAAGCTTTACTCCCCAAATAGACGTTGTTAGGAAGTGAAAAAGTCCCCCTGACCCCCACCTTCTTGTCCCAGTAAGAGGTGAGTTGTTGGATTGGGGCATTGTTGACGCATCCAGTGTTTTTGTGGAGAAGAAGCACTGACCGGAAGAGAGGCAGTGACTCCACAAAGCAAACACTGTCAACCGGAAGTGCTCTGAGAACAGGCAGGGGGGACCCACTCCCACCACAGTGGCATGGGCAGAGCGGATTAAGAGGAACTGAGAATATGGGAAAGGGTTTCTACACAGCAGATTGGACAGCATCAGTGCTCTGCAGCCGGAAGAGATGACCTTGAGAAGGTGGAGCTCCGCCGTGTTGGCCATGGTCCATGGGATTTCATGGGCTAAACCCAGGGTCTCTCTTTGACTTCAATGTGTAAGAATAGACTTGGCATGCCTGCCCTCGTCTATGATCAAAGATGCTGAAAACAATAACCCATCATGACACAGGATGAATTGGATGCATTCATCACAGGCCTGCTAACTGGGGATAATCTCTCCTAAACAGAAGTGGATGGCAAGACCCTATTCATGGCTTCCTGCCTGTGTAAATAATTGTGGGGTGGCTTGAGGGGGGACCTCAATTGAAGTGGGAGGAAAAGGCAGTTCAGTAAGTAGTAGAGCAGCTTTGGGTGGGAAGTTAGATTCTACCAGTGGGGTCATCAAACCTGGCCAGTGTCCTACAGTGGAGAATAAAAGCAAAAGGCCTATCATCTCACTATTTCTGTGTCTCCCTGGGTGTTTGCTTTTTTGTTTTTCCCTTCTTTCCCTCTTGCTTTGTCTGTCAACAAGAGCATACCAGCCCCTCACTCAATGAGAATAATTGCTTAAATGGAACACTTCCTTCCCTATAGTCTCAAGATCTGTGTACCAGGAAATAATAACCTCATTGGTTCCGGAAAGTTTTATTTTTTAGCAAGGCCTTTTCTCAATTCCCATCTCTCCTTTGACTTCCTATTAAGTGATAGTTTCTTTTAGAAGCAGCCTTTTTCTGGATCTCTTTGACAGTTTTTGTTCAGTCTTAGCAGTAATTTCCAATTCATGTTTACTTCTCTTCAACACTAATTTTCATCATGAACCCAAACTTAACTTCCTATAATTTTTTTCAGATTGTGAGTTCAGATCTGCTAACAAATTCTTTAACTATCACTTTTTTAAAAATGTTGACTGTTTGGGAACAAAACCAATGTTATTTTCTTTTTGGACTTGGAAAAGGTTCAAAATGTCTAGGTTTCAAAATGATGCCACCTACATGTTTCTGAGTAAGGCTCTCTGTGTTACGCCTGACCTTTTCCCCACATTTCTGTTTCTCTGATGAAATGGTTGTTCAATAACTTTTATTGTTTACATTTCCTATGCACAAATGCTGTCATTGTCACCTGAGGGAAGATAGCCAGGAGAGATGGCTTTAACCAAGTTGTTCTCTTTTGTGTAGCCAATCACGCTGCTAATGGAGTCATCAGATGCCATGAACTTGGCCTGCTTAACAGCTGGATACTACCGACTACTTGTGGATTCCAGGAGGTCCATCTTTAACATGGCCAACAAGAAAAATGCCGGGAGCCAGGATACAGGTATTCTCTCCCATCCACTTGACCAAAACAATAAGGATCTTTCTTTTGTATATATACATATACTAGAGGCTCAGTGCACAACATTCATGCACTGGGGGAAAAGGGCTGTCCCTCAGCCCCGCCTGTGCCCATTTACAGTCCGGGAATTCTTGGGGGATATCACTGGGCTCACCAGCCATCAGCCAGCCTTCTGGCTGAGTGGTGCTCCCGCTGTGGGAACACACTGACCACCAGGGGGCAGCTCCTGTGTTGAGCATTTGCCCCCTGGTGGTTAGTGACCGGTCATTCCGCCATTCGGTTGATTTGCACATTACCCTTTTATTAGATAGTATATATGTTTGTATTGATTTGTATAGAGAGGAAGGGAGAGGGATAGAGAGATAGAAACATCAATGAGAGAAGAACATCATCAGGTGCCTCCTGCACACATCCCCAATGGGGATCAAGCCCACAACCTGAGCATGTGCCTTGACCGGGAATTGAACTAGTGACCTCTTGGTTCCTGGGTCGACACTCAACCACTGAGCCACAGTGGCTGGGCAGGATTTTTCTGGAAAAGTTAAAATCATATGCATAAAAATCTAATGTCTAAATTTAACACAAGAGCCTTCAAGTCTATCTATATGCCCTACTTATTTTCTCTGACAATGTTGATTTCAGCATCAAATTTTACATGTCACTCAGAAATGCAGGGGCATATGCTATAAAAGCAGGGATTTGGTGACTGTGATGGGAGTGAGCCTCAGTCTGTATGGCCGGGCTTTCATGTCTCTCTCTCCTAGGAGTCACCATGCAGAGAACTGACAATAGGGTGCCCCATTGGAAGGGGGAGCCCCTCAAGGTGCTCTAGGCACAGATGCCTGGGCCCCTCCTCAGGCATCCAATTTACCTCCAGAATCTAGGAACTCTTCCAACAGGATGACTTGGGTATCGCCCAGGACTTGGATTTGGGTCTTTAGCTCTGTATTGGGAGCTTGGAGATCACACACATATCACATACTTCAATCCTGTCCCTGGACAGGGCGAAAGAAACCCAAAGTGAGAACTAGGAGGGCTGCAAACATGACACTGGCAAGTTCTCCGAGGGTGGGTGGTTTTCATTTGCTTTGCAACTGTTTGCTTTAGTGTTTGACCTTTCCTCCGTCTCCAAGGGACGCTCAGGAAATGTGGCTGATGGACAGACACCAACTATTCAAGCCAAATCTCCTGACCCGTGAACAATGGCTAATTGCATTTCGTAATAGTCTGATTGGGTTCCGTAATAGGGCTTCTGTGGAAGAGAGGGACATTTCTTAAGAACAAATTCCATCTTCAGTGTGTCTGAGGGCAAGGAGGAAGAAGAGGGGGGAGATTCTCTTGCTTTTACACAGCAGGAACCATTAATGTTTGCTCCAGAATGCATTGTGATGTGGAAGCACACACAGAGACAGACGCGCAGGCAGTAGATGATGATGGCCGGTTAGATGGCAGCAATGCCAGTCACAGGATAAAGGGAAACCAGAGGGAAAGAAAGAGATGGACAAGGCATGCCCAAAATAACTTGGACTTGAGACTATATTTAATCCAGCCCCACCTTGAAATGCCTGTGTGTGTGCTTTAACTTTTATTTATTTATTTATTTATTTTTAATCTTTATTGTTGAAAGTATTACATCTGCCCCTTTCTCCCTACTAACCCCTTATAACCCTCCCACCCCCACCTCAGGCCTTCACCACTCTATCGACTGTGTCCATGGGCCATGCATATATACATACAAGGTCTTTGGTTGATCTCTTACCACCCACCCTCCCTCCCCCACCTTCCCTCTGAGATCCTACAGCCTGGTCCACGCTTCCATGTCTCTGGATCTATTTTGTTGATCAGTTTACTTTGTTCATTGGATTCCACGTGAGTGAGATCATGTGATAATTTGGGGTTTTTTCATTTGTACAGTTGGGATTTAAAACCTAGCTTTTAAGGTAAGAACTAGAAAAAAGAAATCTTAAGTACCATCCTTAAAACGATGCTCGGTGCCTCTACTAATAATTGGCAGTGGGGGAAAAGAGCAGAAATGGAAAAAATTCAGAATGAAAGTGACAGAACACAGAAAGGAATGGAAGACAGACATAAGACAAGGAAAAACCCTGAGAGACACAAATTATTAGAAATAAATACAGAGCCGAAGCCGGTTTGGCTCAGTGGTAGAGCGTCGGTCTGCGGACTGTAGGGTCCCAGGTTCGATTCTGGTCAAGGGCATGTACATTGGTTGCGGGCACATCCTTGGTGAGGGGTGTGCAGGAGGCAGCTGGTCGATGTTTCTCTCTCATTGACATTTCTAGCTCTCTATCTCTCTCCCTTCCTCTCTGTAAAAAATCAATAAAATATATTTTTTTTAAAAAGAAGAAAAGAAATAAATACGGAGCCCTAACCGGTTTGGCTCAGTGGATAGAGCATCGGCCTACAGGCTGAAAGGTTTGATTCCGGTCAAGGGCATGTACCCTGGTTGCGGGCACATCCTCAGTAGGGGGTATGCAGGAGGCAGCTGATCGATCTTTCTCTCTTATCCATGTTTCTGGCTTTCTATCCCTTTCCCTTTCTCTCTGTAAAAAAAAATCAATAAAAAAAATTTTTAAAGAAATAAATAGGGAGGGAACGAAACAGAGGTGGTGAGTATTGTTGGGTTTGATGGAGAACATTTTTATGACCACGTGTTTTCACTGACTAGAAGGTTTAGAGCAATTTAACGCTGACCTTAGAAATTCTGAAGAGCAGTTCAGCAATTTAACATGGTCCTTTAACATTTGAAAACCAGTTTTTAGCTTTGCATTTTCAAATCTTAAAAGTTTATCTTGAAAATACAACCTTTTGCAGGTGCACAAAGAAGAGCAGCCAGACCACTCTTAAGGCTGGTTATAGTAGGAAGGGCCTGGCTTCTGCCCACTTTCTAGTGACTCACAATGTAATGTTGAATGAAATTTCAAGAGGCAAAAACTTAGTTCCAGAAAGTATTATCACCATGGGGGAAAAGTGGAATTTCAACCTTTCCGTAATTTCCCCCAGTTCTTCAGTGAGAATGAGGGTGAGGGAACATGTTGAAAGTATCTCTCTCTACTCTCAGAGAGAGAGAGAAATTGAGAGGCAGAGAGCATGTGCACGAGTGAGTGTGTGTGTGTGTGTGTGTGTGTGTGTAAGAAGGAAGGACAAGGAAGAGAAGATGGCATACTCCAATTGCCTTGCTTTTAGCCTGCTGATCTATTCAGTTTTCTTGTTGGTTTAATCCAGGAGTTGGCAAACTATGGCCCCTGTGCCAAATCTTGTTCTTATAAATAAAGTTTTATTGGCATTCAGCCAGGCACATTGTATTAGTCTCTCAGGGCTCTATAACAAAGTACGTCAAACTTGCGGGTGTAACGTCAGAGAAACTTATTCTCTCACCGTTTTGGCAGCTAGAGGTTCAAAATCCAGCTGTTGGTGGGGTTATGCTCCCTCCAAAGGCTCTAGGGGAGAAACTTTTCTCTCCTCTTCCCACTTCTCATGGGAGTCGGCATTCCTTGTGGCTGTGTAACTCCGGTATCTGCCTTTGTCTTCACATGGCCCTCCCCTCGTCTGTATGTGGTCCAAACCTCCCTCTACTTTCCTTCTATGAGAAAATAATAATCCAGTTGCCATTGGATTTAGTGCCCTTATAATAGTTGAGGATGATCTCATCTCTTGATCCTTAATTTAATTACATCTACAAAGACTCTTTTCCAAGTAAGGTCACGTTCACAGAATGGACATACCTTTTGGGGCCACCATTTAACCACTACATCCATTTGTTTATGAATGATCCTTGGCTGCTTTCATGTTACAACAGGGTTGAGAAGTTGTTCAGCTGAGCAGTTGGCCCGCAAAACCTCAAGTATTTAACGAGCTGGCCCTCCCCTTACAGAAAAAGTATGCTGGACTCACAACTTTGCTGAACCACTTTAGCGCTGCTTGATAAGCCATACCCTGACACACATGTGCATGTGTGTGTGCACGCACATACACACACACACAGCCAGTCATAATGTAGGTTGTCATTCATAAAACAATGCTAAACCGCCACAGGTATACTTACTATAAAACATGCAAATATGGCTGGTGTGTAACTCAGTGTCTTCAAAGTGATATGTTTTGCTTGCTATTCATAAAAAAGAATATATACTTAGTAAAATGACTTGAAACATTGTTCAGCATTGAGTCCATTGTATAGTTTTGGGGAAGCAAACCCTCTTCAGTAAAAGTGATTTCTCCCCAGGTCTTGTATATCTGATGTCAGTATGACCCAAACTTGGGCAAGGGGGCAATTTGAGGGAACAGATGGGAAAATAGGTGGCCCAAACACTTCCTCAAAATGTTACCTCTAGAATCCACAAAGCCGTATTGATAGTGACACACTGGCCCATCTTGTTAAATATCAGGAACAAAATCTCCACCACAAAATCCCTATAGGAAGACCCTTAAATCCCAGCTGGTGCGGCTCAGTGGTTAAGTGTCAACCTATGAACCAGGAGGTCACAGTTCGATTCCCAGTCAGGGCACATGCCTGGGTTGTGGACTTGATCCCCAGTGTGGGGTGTGCAGGAGGCAGCCGATCAACAATTCTTTCTTATCCTTGATGTGTTTGTTTGTTTTTTTTCCCTTCTCTCTTTCCCTTTCCCTTCCTCTCTCTGAAATCAATAAAAACATTTAAATAAAAAAATAAATAAATAAGACCCTTAAAGGGAAAACAAAACAATAACTTTTAAATTAGGATTTTGCTGTTTTAATTCAAGCAGGCCATAAAACAAGCCTTCAGAAAGTTCTCATGGCACAAATAAAAATTAAAATTAGTCCAAGTGTTAACTATGCTTGGAAATAGCAGAGAGAAGTACATTAGCTCTGCGTGCTTCACCTTCTGCACCATATGCGCATGTGCGTACAGGATGGGTACTAACATTCATGTGGATATATAAACATCCACTAGGATATAAAAGAGCTGAAGAGAAAGGTTTTTGTGTTATCATTCCAATATTTATTACATTACATTTTATTGATATATTTTATTATTGCATGATCATTACAATATCTTCTAAGATACATGGCAGAAGTATGGGAATCTTTAATTTTCTCTTAAAGAGGAAAAAGGCCCACATCTTCCTCTACAAAGTGGCTGATGTTAGATCTCGCTTGACAAAGTAAAGGGCAAATCATTTTCTGCAATAACAGCTATTGGACTGCCACCTTTAAGGATTTGAAAAGGCATGTTTTATACTCACCTTCACAGATAGACGTGAGGTCTTTTAATAATAGAACTAAGAGTCAGATGGAATTAAGCTATAGTTCCCTACTCTCAGATGGTATTATGTGTTATCAAATAGCAATGATAATTCATGCAATACCTATTCTGTTATGGTCAATTCTCCTAACCAAGAAACCATTACATCATCCGAGGCCTAAATCGACCACTGCCATATTTGGAAAGCTCAGTAACCCTGTTTTTATAAAAGTGATGTTACAAGCCATTAAATTACGAAGCAGCCCAGCCGGCATGGCTCAATGGTTGAGCATCGACCTATGAACCAGGAGGTTCGGTTCCCGATCAGGGCACATGCTGGGGTTGCAGACTTGACCCCCAGTTGGGAATGTACAGGAGACAGCCTGATTCTCTCCCATTATTGACGATGTTTATGCCTCTCTCTCCCTCTCCCTTTCTTGCTAAAATCAATAAAAATAGATTTTGAGAGAGAGAGAGAGAGAGAGAGAGAGAGAGACAGACAGACAAGGCCCCCGGAAACCAGACAGCACTATAATGTGTCTTTGCATGATTCTTTCTCCTTAGGGACTGAAAACAAAGGAAAGCTTAACATCCTTGGCCCTGATTGGAACTGTGTACCCCAAATGACCACCTTTATTGGCGAAGGGGAGCAAGAGGCCCAGATCACATATGTAGATTCCAAACAGAAGACGGTGGAGATCACGGATGGCACTTTGTGTCCGAAAGACCACCGGCACGTCTACTTGGCCACCACCTACAACCCCGATGAGCTCAACCCGCAGCTGGCACCGCCGGGAGATGCTCCGTGCGAGGCCGACTACAGAGGTCTTGCTCCGCGGTCCCTGTTGACCTTCTCGGGACCAGACACCCTGAAGAAGGCACAGGAGTCTCCGCGGGGCGCCAAAGTGTCCTTCATCTTTGGAGACCTCGCCATGGATGACAGCATCAGCCCCCCAGCTCTCAGCTATGACAGACTCTTGGAGGAGAGCCCGGAGCTGCTGGAGAAGCAGACGAGCCTCTACATGAGAAGTGCCAATGACGTGAAGGCCCTGGACCTGAGCCCCGACGCGGACAACATGCAGTTCATGGAAAACTCCGTGTACGCCAACATAGGTGACGTGAAGAGCTTCCAGGCCAGCCAGGGCATCGAGGAGCCCCTGCTCCATGACATCTGCTACGCGGAGAACACTGACGACGCGGAAGACGAGGACGAGGTGAGCTGCGAGGAGGACCTCATGGTGGGAGAGATGAACCAGCCGGCCATCCTCAACCTGTCGGGCTCCAGCGACGACATCATCGACCTCACGTCCCTGCCGCCCCCGGAAGGGGATGACAACGAGGACGACTTCCTGCTGCGGTCCTTGAACATGGCCATCGCCGCCCCCCCTCCCGGCTTTCGAGACAGCTCCGATGAGGAGGACTCTCAGAGCCAGGCAGCCGCCTTCCTCGACGACAAGGGGCCCAGCGGTGGCGGCCTGCAGAACGACGAGATCCCCGTGTCCCTCATCGACGCGGTGCCCACCAGCGCCGAGGGGACGTGCGACAAGGGACTGGACAAGCCGGCCGCCCCCACGCCGGGAGCTCTGGCCGTGTCGGAAGAGCAGCAGACGAGTAACAATTCAGGTTCTTTCACGATCGTTACATTCATTCACTGATAAGCACCTCATCACGCATCCCATCGAGCCATTTGCCCTCGGAGCCCCGTGCGCGCTGCTCTCCATCTCACGCATGTCCCATTTCATACATGTGCGGGCACTCCCATCGTGGCTTTTGTTGGTGTATGTGGTTTCTTTTGTTCCTTTAAAAAAAATAAATACATGTGGCACGCTTCCCCCTCTCCCCCATTTCTGGAACATCCAGGCAATAAACTCAGTCCTCCCCGATAAGGGACACGCTGGTTCGGTTAGGTTCTGTTCTGTTCTGGTCACAATGCTCCCATTCCCGCACGCGGCTCCCGGGGCCTCTCTGCACCCATTAACCGCCTCTTGTTTCTCACGGCATGCAGGTGTAGCCATCTTGAGGGCTTATAGCCCCGAGTCTTCCTCAGACTCGGGCAATGAGACTAACTCCTCCGAAATGACGGAGAGCTCGGAGCTGGCCACGGCGCAGAAGCAGTCCGAGACGCTCTCCCGCATGTTCCTGGCCACGTCCGAAGGCTACCACGCCCTCGCTGAGGAGCAGACAGAGTTCTCCACCTCCGCTTCCACCTCCACCTCCACTCCCACCTCCAAGGCCACTGCTGGGGGCGCCCTACCCCCCAAGGCCCCCCACTCCCTGGCCGCCCGGCCCGGGGTGGACCTGCCGTCCAAAGTCGTGCCTTCCAAGCAGATCCTGCACTCGGGCCACATGGAGATGGAGCCCGAGACCATGGAGACCAAATCGGTGACGGACTATTTCAGCAAACTGCGCCTGGGCTCCGTGGCCTACTCCTGCACCAGCAAGAGGAAAAGCAAGGCGCCCGACGGGGAGGCCAAAGCTCCCACCAGTGGAGCGAATGGGACGGCGCCATCAGGGAAGAAGCAGCAGGGGGCCAAGGCCACTGAGGCCGAGGAGGACGCCAAAGGTAAATTCGGTACCATGTCCACCAGGGACGGTCAGCGCCTGGGCCCTTTTAACCTGGAGAGAACTGCCTTCCGCAAGGACAGCCAGCGATGGTACGTGGCCGCGGAGAGTGGGCCAGCTGACAAAGGCGCCCTGGAAGCGGCCACAGGGATGTTCCCGCGAGCCCCTGGCCTGGGAACAAGGGAGGCCGAAGGGAAGGATGAAGGGGCCCCCCGCGGAGACACCGCTGAGGTTTCGGGCCTCGGCCAGCGAGACCACTTCTTAACAGACGTGACCTGTGTCTCTTCAGCCAAAGACTTAGACAACCCCGAGGGTGCCGCCCCGCCTGCCTGTGACCGCCCTGCCCAGCTGGCCGGCGCAGAAGACAGCGTGGCCCACCTCTGTGACTACCACTTGGCCAAGCGAATGTCATCGCTGCAAAGCGAGGGCCATTTCTCCCTCCAGAGCTCGCAGGGCTCCTCGGTGGACGCGGGCTGCGGCACGGGCAGCAGCGGCAGCGCCTGCGCCACGCCCGTGGAGTCCCCACTCTGCGCCCCCGTGGGGAAGCACCTGCTTCCGGAGGCCGCGGGCAAAGGCGGGCCTTACGTTCCTTCCTCCGAGGAGAGAGCCACGGGGCTTCCCGGCCACGGAGCCCCTTTTAAGGAATCACACCCCCAGGCGGAAGGGGTGTGTCCCCGGATGACAGTGCCTGCCCTGCACACAGCCATTAATGCTGAACCCCTGTTTGGGACTTTGAGAGATGGATGTCACCGACTCCCCAAGATTAAGGAAACTACAGGTACAGAAATGAGGGATTTAGGGCTTTGCCTGAACAACCAGGAGCCTGTAAACCTAGCTCACAACAAACCTAGAAACATGAAATCTGGCCCTAGCTGGTGTGGCTCAGTGGATAGAACATCAGCCTGCAGACCAAAGGGTCCAGGATTTTATTCTGGTCGAGGGCAGTTACCTTGGTTGCAGGCTCCTCCCTGGCCCAGGCCCTGGTCGGGGCTCATGCAGGAGGCAACCAATCGATGTGTTTCTCTCACATCGATGTTTCTCTCTGTCTTTCCCTCTCTCTTCCACTCTCCCTGAGAATCAATGGTGGAGATGGCACTGCTCTTTAGAATCTTAATCTGTTCTTGCTTTTAGAGTCAGAGGGAGCAGTATTTGTTCCTAAATTATAAATGTAGCATTCCGGCAGTGCCCAGGGTGACATTTGATTACAAGACGATATAGCTTAGAGTCACAGAATGGTTTGATTTCCTTTGTAAGATGTTGGATTTCTGATTTTGCCATTGCATTTTTGAGGCAAGGAAGGATCATAGAGCAAGGGGGTCAGGGAGATCACAGGGTCTAGGGGAGGCCGTTCACCTTTCAGCAATAGTTACAGATTCCTCTTGACTCTGAAAGTTCCCTAGAGGGATATTCTGATGTGTTAATGAGATCTTACATTGGTTAATGTCTACTCCTGCCTTTTTAAGATTATCTACTTTCTCAAAACCCACTACTCAATTAAAAAAATAAAATAAGGCCCTAGCCTGCTGGCTCAGTTGGTTAGAGCACCGTCCCCATACACCAAGGTCGCAGGTTCAATCCTCAGGGCACATATAAGAATCAACCAATGAATGCATAAATAAGTGGGACAGCAAATTGATCTCTCTCGCTCGCTCTCGCTCTCGCTCTCTCTGTCTCTTTAAAAATCAATTTTTAAAAATATATTGTTATTGATTTCAGAGAGGAAGGGAGAGAGAGAGAGAGAGAGAGAGAGAGAAACATCAGTGATGAAAGAGAATCATGGATTGGCTGCCTCCTGCACGCCCGCTACTGGGAATTGAGCCCACAACCCGGGCATGTGCCCTTGACTGTACTTGAACCCAGGACCCTTCAGTCCGCAGGCCAATGCTGTATCCACTGAGCCAAACCAGCTAAGGCTAAAATCAATTTTTTTAAAACCCACCACTGGCTTCACCTGCCATGGGAAATCTGCCTATGAATTTACATAACTCATCACCAAACTGTTATCTTTATCTCTAAACTAATTAGAGCATGCTTTTACCAACTTACCTCTTCTCACAAAAATTCTGTGAAATGGAGATTTTCTTCACATAATTTGTGTCTCCATGTCAAAACCTGTACCAGGAGAATTTCATGGGATCCTCTTTCAAAGGCGAGCTGATATAATTTGCATTCAGTAAATTAGGCCACTTCTTTATAAAAAAATTAACAGATGCCAGGATTGCCTTAATTCCCTTGAAATGAAACGTCAGTGTCATAAACATGTTTGAATAGTTTATATCTAGAATGTGTGTGTTTCTAATTACGTGTTTAAACTTTGGCAGGTAAATGGGAGCAAAACAATTAATATAATCCCATTGTCTCCCTGGAAACACTAGGGATTTCTAGACAATTCCAAATGAGTCAGTAGTCTAAGAAATAACAGTCTACAGTATTTTTTTAATGTGATCTCAGAAGGCAGTCTTTGGAAAGCAGGGGGACCCTGACAAATGGCAGCCCTTCTAGAATGCATCCTTGGGAAATAGCAATCATCATCAAGAGACGGAGTGAATTGACCACCATAAGATGTTTAATGATTCTCTCTGTTTTTTTCTACTCCCCCTAGTGTAGCTTTGACAGAGTCTGGGAAGGAGAGACGAGGAGGCATGCCTTCAGTGTGGTCTCAGTATCCGGAAGCTGATCCCATCCTGCTACCATCAAACATTCACTCGGAATCAAAGGTGCCAATTCCAAATCAAGACCCCATTGATTTCTCCCAAGCATACCGGCCCTACGGAGGGGCTGTGAGCTGGCAGCCACTGGATGTGAGAGGGGAGAGCCGTGGGACACCCCCCAGCCAGAGGGCTCTGAGACGGAGCAGTAGTATCCTCTCAGGATGTATAGGATTGGAGACCTTCCGAGAGAGAACCAAGGGTGCAGTCAGCGAAAAGTGTCCAGGTGTCACAGAAGCACAGGAGGCCACTTCAGAAAGGCGAGCAGAACTCCCACTGGGAAAGAAGCTCACCAAAAGTTTTTCCCAAAGCTCGATGCACTTTAGCTCTGATGGGAAGACTCCCAAGGGGTCCCCGGTGGCTCACAAAGACTCAAAGCTCTATAAGACATTGCCTTTGAGGAAGCTGGAGGGCAGCAATTGGAGATGCCGGGGACCTTTCAGCTACTGCTTTCTGAACCGAGGGCAGGAGGAAGATGAGGATGAGGATGAAGAGGAGGGAGAACCCACCCACCGGGTCTCTTGCCTCTTTCCACTACAGATGACTAAAGCCATGCCAGACCCAAGCAGCCCACCCCTGGCTGTTGGGATTCAAAAGCAAGAAGGGGAGCTGTCCAGGTGTCCAGTGCTGAAGGGTTGGGCAGAAGACCCGAGTGGCCCGGATGACATGGACTTTAGCAACCTGGCTTTCGATGCCCGGATTGCAAGAATAAGTGCCCTAAAGCAGAGCACATATGCAATGCCTGATGGGTTCCTTGCAGCCCAAAATGATGCCAATGAGCTGCTCTGCCTTGTCAGGGCAACCAAGGGGAAGAAAGAGGAGTCGCGCCCTGAAGCATATGACCTTACACTTTCTCAGTACAAGCAACTGTTGTCCATTGAGTCCAGACAGTTAGGAAGTGCCTGTAGGAAGATGGCGATGGCCGAGAAAAGCCCAGAAGAGATGCTCCTAGCGATGACTTCCAGCTTTCAAGTGCTCTGTTGCCTAACAGAAGCTTGCATGCGATTGGTGAAAGTCGTGAGCTCTGAAACACAGCGGCAGGAAATTGTGGTGAAGATTGACGAAGTGGTCATCAACTACATCTGCCTCCTGAAAGCTGCTGAGGCAGCCACAGGAAAGACCACTGGGGACCCCAGTGTCGGGCTGTCCACGCGACATTCAACCACCATGGCCGCCCTCGTAAGCACACTAACACGTTCTCTCAAGATGCTTTTAAATAAATAAAGTGTGAAAGTCACATCATACTCTACCTTTGCAAAGCCATACATGAACTTTTATTTACTTTCTTTCTTGTACGATGAACAGATGTCTCCTTTCTTCTCTCTGTATATTTTGTTCTTTTGTATAAAAAGGAGATAAAAGGTCACATTGGTGAAACGTTGAAATGTACTAATCAGATGTATTCTGTTTATATTATACATATATACGTGTAAAAGAACTATACAAGGCAGTGATGACATTTGGCTATTTTTCATATAGTCAAAACTCGGGGGATATGAAGTGAAATTTTAAATTCTACCATGTTAGAGCAAAACAGTAAATCCCATCTCCTTTCCTTCCAAGTGGATACTTGGAGACCATGTCGTTCATATTTAGAAGTAAAAAAAAAAAAAGAAAAGCAAGAAATCACAATGTATATAAAACAGTACTTATGTTTTAAAATTATGATTTTAAAGTATTGGAAATAGCAAAAAGACATTTAAAATTCAAGAAGCTATTATGAGTTATTAGAGAAGATATATAATAAATTAATTTTTTTGCTCATAGCGTTTGGTTATCTGATGCTTTCTTCCAAGAATCCTACATTTTTCATTTTGGCTTCTTCCATTTGGGTTCCAAAAGGGTGGAGGTGGATTCTATTGTGTCAACACAAATGCTCTGCCTGATGTTCCTAGAATTCAAATATTTCCCAATAGAAGAACAGAGAGAATGATGGGCAGGTTCCTGGGTAATACCTAGTTATTTTAGTATTATTGAATAGTAATTATCTAATTACATAAAATGAAAGAATAATACTAAAATTAATTTGTTGATGAAAAGAAGGATCTGCTTTGACTAAATGTCAAAATACGTAAACCAAAGACATCATCCACCTCCCTGACTCAACCATGAAATTCAGCATTTCCTTAAGAGTGACAGAACATTTAGTAAAGTATTTGCAAAATTACAAAAAGAAAAGGAACATTTGATGATTATTTAAAGCAAGTGCAGATCCAATTGTGTAAAGCAGACTGCACCAGCCCTAGTCCCATCGCAGATCAAAGCTCTTAGCATCACAGAGCTCCATGCCACACCTCTACCGGGGCCAATACTTCCAACCCAACTTGGAATTGCAGCCTAGCGCTGGGACAAAATTTCAAATCTGGAATGTTCAGAAAATCAGAGAGAGATGGCTACTCTAATATAGAAGCCATGATGAAACAAATAAGTATTTATTAAATGATCTAATCTGGATTGGCTTATAGATACATGAAAGCTGAAAAACAAAATAACAAGTGGTCCATTTGACCACTCTTGGTAAAACTGATAGAATGCAAAGAAGTTTTCAGAACTGTCGTCTCTCTCAAAATGTATCTTTGGGTCAAAGCAAAAGAATGCAAACTCTGCAATTGTAAAATAAAATTGACATGTACATATATAGTTCATGGATCATTTAGTGCTCAAGCTACACACACTCCTATTTATGTACGTGGCTCCTTAAAATATGACAGGAGTATATGCCAAGTACAGATATTTCCATTTTTGTCGCCTACTGGACAGGAGGCATAACAGTCTACAGTCACTGTCTCATCAGTCATTCTATAGAGACTCAATAACAAAAGTCACACATAGTTGTAGATGGTAGCATACAAAAGGAGTTTAGACATGTGTTATTAAAAATAATGTTTAAATAAAACATTATTTTATTACAATTCTAAATATTGATGTTTGATATTGAGAAATATTAATGGTGTTTACTGTGGAAATTTTTGGTAAATATTCTGTGTACTAAAATACTAACATTAATAGGATGTGTGTTCGATGTCAGACAATGTGCTAAACATATCTCATATGTTATCTCATTTAATCATCACAGCAATCTTATGGTTTGGACACTGCCATTAATTCCCTATGGAGGCAGTATTGTTCCGTAGTTAAGGATGTATGGTTTGAGGTGAGAAACTTGATTTAAGTTTAAACTCTGCCATTTTCTAGCCCTCTTATCTTGGGAAAGCCAATCAGTTTTTCTCTGTGTCTCATAAGGATGTCATGAGTTTTCAGTAAAATTATGTATGTAAAGTTCTTACCACAACACCTGACAGATTAAATAATTAATGTTAGATTTTATTATCATCATCATGATTGTATTAAATACAGTGCCCAAAAGAATATGTGGGGATATTTGCTTTTATGCATATCGTATCCTGACTCCATGTGTGGAATACATTATGTGTATTGCATATGTATAAATGAAATGCCCAAGGAAGGAATGCTCTTTGTTCAAATCACATGTTCAGTTGGAACAACTTCTTTGTTCATTTCAGTTCTTGGAGAGGCCTAGCAAATTATCTCTGGGTCTTTCTAACCCATTTTCCGTTATCTGTGGGTGCTCCAATGACTTTCTGTTTCTTATAAACCAACTCTTTACTACTTAGAAAACCTTAAGGGGCCCCCCACTCACAATCCATGGGATCCTAAGTGGGGTACATGTCCAGTAGAGTATAGGAAGAATGATTTTGTTGATTTTTCTCTAGCCTTTTTTTTATGTTTGCATATATTTTATAATGGCATAATAGTACAGTGGTATATGTACATCATTTTAAATAAATAAATGAATTAACAAGCATATGCCTGGTGAATGTATGCAAAAAGAGTGTCGCAGGTAGGGTTGCATTTACTCAAGTTTGGAGACCGCTGGAGTAGATAGTAGAAATTCCTTGTACTGGAGGTTCTTTACATTTATTCCCCAGCCTCATTTTTCAACTGTATCACCTCTCATTTTCATTAATTTTTTTATCATAAAATGTTCAAACATACACAAAAGTAGGCACAATGATACAATGAACCAATGTGTACTCATCATGTACCAATTCATGTCTAATTTATTTTCGCTATCTCTACACATGTCCTTACACACTGTATATATTAGCAAACCTCTGATATTATAGCATTTAATCCATGAATATTTCAGTGAGAACTTTCTATAGGTAAGAACTTTTCAACTTAATCACAATGCCATTTTCACACTTTTAAGAATTATTAAATGTTACAAAAATAAACGATAAAGTGAAAATCCCTATAAACCCAACCCCAAAGAGTCATTGTCAACAATTTAGGGTATCTGTTTTCAATGTTTTTCTGTATATATACTCACGTTATTATTATTGTATGTGTTTATGGACTTAACTTTGGACTTAACAAGGTGTTCTGACCACATTTGCCCTTCTGTTTGAGTCTCAGATGCACCATGTTTTTTGTAGGTGGATTGGCCAGAATAGATACGATTGACACGCACAAAAATACTGTATAACACTCAGATGAACAAGCACCATAGCATCAGGCTTATAGTAAATCCACAACTCATAACCATTGCCTCAGACATTAACGTTAACACAGACTTACTCCCAGGCCCAACCAGAATTAGTCTAATCACAAAATAAATTATTTTTCCAGAAAAGAAAGATAATCTTGAAATGAGCAGGTACAGCAGCACTGCAATGGGTTGATTCCTTTTGCTATGAATTTCATCTTTCATTAAGACTCATCTTAGGAACAATAATCTTCACTTATGTTCCTGTTACATACATTTCTGAATGCCAGCTATTGTTTTGGTGTTACTTCTGAGCTACTAGATGGCCCTAATTTATTCCTCCTGGGTTACTCTTGATTTGGCAATGGGAGAAGTTTCTTCTGTGACCCATTTTCGCCATTCATAATTATGTTAACGGTTTTTGAAATCAGAGAAAAAGCAAAATTAGCTATGATTAGATGATTTCTATCGCTTCCAGACGTTTAGAAATCTTCACAGGGCTAAAAATACATGGATATCACATTGTTTCTCTCTAACCTGATTTTGTCTCTGCTTGGAAAGCAATCAGTTTTTTTGGGGTGTATTTGGGTGTATAGAGATTGAGGGGAGGTATTTGAGTAGATAGTTGTGCGTGTTTGGATGAATAGTGCTATAGGTATAGGGGAAGTGTTTGAGGTGTGTGTGTGTGTGTGTGTGTGTGTGTGTGTGTGACTAGTTTTTTATCTGGCTTCATGTATTTCAGAGTTAGTTTGCCCTCTGGCAGTCCCAAGATGATGATAAAACTTTCTCTTTATAGCATCCCAAATCTCTAAAGTCAAATTGCAGAAATTGCTTCTCAGCTTTGAAAGATCAAAGAGTCAGAACTTTACCTTTTTAATGACATTTTCATTCATAACAACCTGACCCAGAAAACTTGGATACTCTTTAGTTATGTCACCTAGTCCCTGGCCGGCCCTCTCAATTTTTAACTATGGAAGAACAATTTGTGTCTTTATCAAATATTTCTGCTGCACAGAATAATGGAACGAATTAAATCCTGCACTGCTGAAAGAAGTAGATAACCCAGTAGCTTCTCCCAAGTAGCTTATTTCACCATTCATCCTGAAATCAACCTGCTGCCTTCAGCTCAGCGACTCTAATCTTTCCTCCACATTTTTAATTGCATCTCAATTTTCTGTTGCACATTAATTCTAAAGCGCTGAGGTGTGGTGTGTGCATTTTCATTGTACCTATTAATTCACATTTTCCACTCCACACTTTGGACTAAAATTCTATGCCATTTGCAGCAGTAGCATCCACAACTTTAGGCAGAATTAGCTTTGGGATTCAGGAAGCTAAGCCTTCTGGGTAACCGCCAACCAAGTAACATTTCTCCTGTTTCCATTTTGATTAGTACTCCTTGCACATCTTATCCTTTCGCTAAATGATCCATGACTCCTGTCACCCACTTAGAAGCTGGGTATGTCCATTCATTCATTCAAATCGCTATTAACAACTTCCTAATCTGGGCAGAGGTTGTGTTAGGTGCTGATGGTGGGGTGAAATGGAGAACAAATTGACATGGTCCTTGCCGAAAATTCTAGAATGGGCAATCCCTTGTCATGTGTGAAGAAAGGAAGGGATTCAGAGTGAGTCAGCACACAGGCAGTGTTTACTGCGCATGTGCAAGACTAAAGACCATGGCAGTCCAATCTGTGCAAAGTGATCTTAATAAGCAGTGAACACAAACTACAATTGTGCCGTGACCTACACTGATTTTTTCAAAATATTACTCTTTTGCTGTCAGTTATAAATGTTAGGGATGTGGGAAAATACAGTACAACATTTCTTTAGTATACAGTAATTTAAACATTAGAAACTTTGAGAATTAAAGTGGGTCTTCTTTGTAAAGCCTTAAAAAGAGTCATTTGAACAGCGTTTGCCTTCTCTGAGTCATCACATAATTTACAATATGGAGTGAGCATCTTTTCTGTATTTTGGCAAATCCTCTAAATTTGGATCAGCTTCTAACATTTTATCATTGGTACTTTCAATGTTGGGAAATATCTCCAGGAGTTCCTCTCATGTGAGCGTCTTTTTTCCAGGGGGACTTCCTCTGGGACAGCTTCATCCTTTTCATCACAGCCACCTTGGTGATTTCTGTCAGTAACCGCCCCTTCTCTGCCCAACTCTGGCCTGCATGGCTCCAGTCTCCAATCAGGGCCATGTCAGCAGTCCCACAGTCAGCTGTCTTACTCCACTGACATTTGCTGTTCA